TTTCTAGAGGGTCATTAAGGACCAAAGACGATCCTGCTGATAAACGTGTCACGCTGAGACAGAGGTACATTGTACCATATTAAAACAATACCATGATATAAGTATTTACTAAGTTTTCCCACGACGCAAATATATAAACCTTACTATACTAGCAGGTAGAAATATTCAGATAGTGATATACAGTAATGGCAAACGTTCTGGCCAGTAGATACCGTGACCACCGATTCTCAAGTGTGACACCTAGATGTAAAGTGAAGTCGTATTTGGTGTGGCTAACAGATTAAGGCTAAGGGTTCGAGATTTGTAAATATGTATAGCTCACCCCTCACATTGACACAAGGCCTACTTATTTTCAACAGTAGTGGAAAGCAAAGCACAATAGCCCAATTCTACTGTATACATGTTCAAAGTAAATGATGAATTCTGAGCGCCTCTCGACACACAATGAAGACCGTGTTTCCGATTATCGACACGAATTACCGGTACGAGTGTTTTCGTCGAGGATTTTCACATTTAATAGGCGGCATTGAATTTTAAAAATCGTAAGTGAATTGCAGGATTGTTTTGTAACGACCGCTAGAAATTAATCACTCATTCCCTGGCGAACTCCTAAAGTACAGTTACCATTTAGCCCGTCTAACCACTCCTCCGGCACTTTGTAAGGGGATTTTCACGAGTCTCGACCACAGAACGTGTTGAAGTACTAACGTCTCGTTTTGTCAATATTTATCTCCCAAAATTGATTCATTCAATAAGAAACAAAAAAAATAAATATTTGACAACAGTGAATCATTTAGTCATGTTTGCATACGCACAATACATGATGTAATAACAACTGATGACGTCATCAGTCATGTAAATATTGACGGTGAAATCTTAAACGAGATGTACTTTATAAAACATAAGATTGTGTAACAAGTATATTAACGCATATATAATATCTGACGTAGACATTTTTCTATTGCCATGATGTTCTTGACAAATCCCTCCTTTTGGGGAATACATTAATAAATTCCCATGGTTTTATCATGGCCAAAGTTCCAACTTCTACATTTGTAAAGTATGTGATTTCACCTAATGTTTTCAATGCACCACACTTTCCTGATTTGACAGGAAACGAAACCGGTGCAACATGTGGTGCAGGAATCGCTAACGTTGGATAAACCCTTGGGGTTTTTTTCTCTCCTTTCCGCCCTTTTTTTCTCCCAGGTGGTTCATTATGTCTGTACTTCCCTGTTATTGTTCTTTCCTGATTTTAATGTCAATAAATAAATACATTTCATTTGTTTTACAATAATTATGTAACAAGTTATATCTACTTAAATCAATAAGTCTAGATGGCCCGGATGATAGCGCGCCGTATTACCAGTAATATGAACAGCGTTTACTAGCTGCTGTTGCTGCTGGTATACAGTTTTGTTAATAGACGAATATAAACCTGTAATGAAACACAAATGTTTTGTACACCTTACGTATGTTAACACTTACAATGATTTAATGATATTCTTATGCATCAAATGATCAGGACATAACAACGATTATTTGAATACGTAGCATTGAGTACGGGAAATTAAACGGTTTACAAGAACAACTGAATTCGTGGGATATAATTTGTAAATACGATTTGTATTGGTATGAATAAAAAAAGCAAATATTTAACCATGGATAGGGCTTTAAGTTAATGATACATTTGAATTGATTTTGCTGTCTTTTAAAGACAGAAACTACTTTTGTTTCCTAAATAGCAATATGACTGTATAACTAATTGAATTAACCATAACATATGCATTTAACTTGAATATCAAACCCAATATTCCTTTCACACGACAAGAAATATATCAAGTTATTCTAATGTTTTCTGTGTCTACAACACTGTCTGGAAATATCATTTTGTCCAAGTGCTGCTAATCTCTTGTAATCAAAACTTGTTGTCATAAAGGTAAGCATTAGTTCACGATTTTAATAAAACAATTTGTGTATTTTTGTGCGTTTTGTCAGATTACTAAATATCTCGGAAGACGTAAATAACGTGTACCATGATATGTCGTTTACATTAAAGGCAATCAGAGTTACTTTTTAACTGATAAATATTTTAATCACAAACGCATGCACGTAAAGAACGCAGTGGAAGTTGAATCATCCGGATATAAACACATTACTAAAGCTTTTAAAAGGGACCATCTATAACAGCTTTATAACTTAGTTTGACGTCTAAATGATATTTATGATATTTCACTCATTTCCATGGCATGATAAGTTAGTAAAAATTCCTTTTAACGAAATAAAACCAATCGGTACACGTACTTACACTTACCTTGCTTCGTATTATAATTTTATTTCTTATGCAAGCAAACAATTCAAATTTGTGAAAGTAGATTTTAACGCTGGCAATAAAAGGAAAACTTATACTGTCGAGAAATTAACGCAGGTACGTTTGTCGTGAATTCTTTAATAAGTTCGAGGTGCATGGGAATCGCTATCAGTTTCTCAGCATTATCATCTAAAGCCAATTGGTTTTGTGTAAATGACCCTGTCTGATGAAGTTCGTGCTTGTTTGCTGTTCTCATTATATTACTTAATGATAATGATATATCCGGTATGACATTGCTTCTTACGCCGATAAAAGAATCAATGTATGATATTGAATAGCGTATATTAAATTTATTGGACGTTTATAGCAGTTCCAGGCATTTAAACCAAGAATAACACGTATTTAACGGACGGGCATGTCTAATCATGATTTCGCTACTGTGTTATTGAATTATTTATTAAACGAGAAGAAAAAAATGCGTGCGATATTTAGATAATAATCTAAGTTAGAAGTGGGAGTTAAACGTTTTCATGAGAAAGGAGAACACAGACACGCGGAGTATTGCTCCACAAACGGATGTCTCTAGCCCTTGCTCAAAGCATGGTTAGATTTACTATGTGTTTACCGGGATATTATGTCAGAAAGCTGAGAAAAACAAACTGTGAAAATGTTTAAATAATATCGAAAATAACGCACTTGCAAAGTTTTTCTTAAAAACTCATATTAAACTAATATAGTGATTTGACAATGTATGCCCTAGTTTTAATCAGTTTAACGAAAAAAACCAACTATAAATCGACGATTTTGTAACTTTTTATGTGTCGGCTGTTGACAAAAATGATGTCGAAATGTCATACACAGATGTATTTATTAACAACACCTGTATATGATTCTGAATATGAAAACAGGGTCTACATTTATCAATTTGTAGCGTACGTGTGTCGTTAAACAACGAGACAAATCGCCAAATATATAAACACCAAAATGAAAGGAACAAAGCCCGAATCATTTTGTCAATTATCCATCTCAAATTCGTCAATTTATGATTTTAATTACTTTCATTGTACGTTATTGTGACTTTGCAAACAGACGAAAACATTTACATTGAGAGTATATAGCTACCTCCTTCAAGAATATCTCTGTTTGTCCTATCTGTCATCTACTTCACCGGCGCTATTAATCATCACGTTATACGTACCTGGTACGCAAGTATTTGGGATAAACATGATAACATATTTACCCAGCAATGGCGACAACGGTTAACAACTGATATACATAATGTCATTGTGTAGTGGGAGTATTAACAGCCAATGACAGAAATAGACCGGTAATACCAATAGGCCTTGGAATCGTGACGGTCGGGTACCACATGTGGGACAGGAAGTGTTTGTGTACTCTTTTATGTGACTTTTCTTCCTTTTTTTGGCCTGGATTCATTTATATCTTTCATGATGTGTTTTTCACTTATGCATGCATAATAACACATATATATATAAATAATATTTAATCAGAAAAACATTCCAAGTCCCTGATTCCCATGATGAACCTCTAAAGAGGAGAAAGCGCTAGGGAAGTCGAAGAAACTCTTTTCATTTTTTTTTTCCTAAATAATATTTTTGTATATATATATCAAATAATATGTATATTTCTGCTCTTTTTTAAAGCATGAGCTTCAAAATAATGACTGAAGATAATAATTCAACAGTTAATGAGACTTCCTCCTTGAAATTAACCTATAGTACACATACACTGTGCTATACATATGCATGACACCAAAACTGCTTAATCTGTGTACGTTTTCCTAAACAACTGACCTTACGAATAATTACGAATATCTTGTTCTATTCGTTAAAAAGGTAAGCAGTTCAGTTCAACCTTTTTTTAAAAGAAGTTTGAAACGGTTACTCATATTTCCGTGAAGTACGATTTGACCTGTCAAATCTGTTGAGACGTTCAATCTTCTTATCGGTCATGTTATTTAATAAATCTAAGATGCAACGTTCGATTCAGAAAATGACATGTACATTTAATAAAATGCTTTTTCTTACACTAATATTTGAAATATTGATATTTTCGGGGGCCAATGTAGCTTATCTCCATTATTGTTATTTAGCATGCAATAAACTTGAAAGTAAAATCTCATTAATATCCATATACAGTATACATAAATAAAAAAAATCCGTAAAATAAACACGGACCACAGCGTTAACCCACAGGGGAAACTTAAAGTCGACACGAAATATAACTACAGTACAGAGAAGATACCAAAATAATCACAAAGTCGACATGAAATATAACTACCAAAATAATCACAAAGTCGACACGAAATATAACTACAGTACAGAGAAGATACCAAAATAATCACAAAAAGCCACAAGCAAAAGTGCATGCTCTAAACAACAGCTGCGCTGTACGTTATATCCTTTCTGATGTCCTTGTTCAGATAAATAGTAGCTGAAATTGAAATATCTACAATCTGTTTGCATTGCTATAAGTTCTATTCTGCCCTTGGAAAACTATCTTAACTGACCGTTTATCTCGGTAAAATATCCTAATGTTGTTCTGACACTTGATGGTAGACACTAATTGGGCATTTGTCCACGCGGACAATAACATAATTTGGCAAACTTTTCTTCCATTCAAATCAGGTTTCAATTATGCCAACCTGTTGTGTGTATTTGTAAATACTCAGCGATGGTCTACACACCTACAATGAGGTTTAATCTTTAAACTCCCGATTCTATTTTACTGAGCAATATAACCGCCTCCTGCGATCCGCGGTACGATTACTACTACGGCAATTTTGATATATTGTGGGTAGCACATGACCAGATAGCAGCCTGTTTCTAACGGGAGGATTCTAGGTTCAACTGCGACGGAAGATCAAGTAGGTATATACTATGTACTATACTATATCTTATTGTTATGCCATGAATTCGTATACAGAACCTTGATGTAGGGTATTATAGACGATGCGTTATCTGTGAACTGAGTTTGTGTAGGGATATAAAAGAATGATAGTAAAATGTCGATGTTCTGTTAAGCTATGCCTAATTTTTGAGCAAACATGCATTAATGCTTTATTTGAACTTTTGATACCCCTTTTTGATCAGCAGGAATCACACTCTGGGTTTGTGGTTCGCCTGTTTATCTATTTACCGACGTATTCAGACACTCATATACATGAACGACACATATATAAATCTTCTTAGACAGGGATTATTAATTAAATATATTCTACTACGATTTCTGTACTAAATTTTATTGTTATTGTTAGATGTTTTAATATACAAGGTATAATGTTAACAATGTATGAATTATCATTATTCAAAATATGATAATTATGATTTTGCAAAATATGGAAGGACAACAACTGCAGGAAGCCTATCAGCCGACATAGGTTTGCGTCCTTGTATTTCTATCCTACCTAAAATCCTTATATATCAAGAGTTATACATGTGTCAGGTACGAAATGGTACGCCAGTAAGTCATTGTATAAATATGTGAAAAATACAGACTATTTCAATTTGCAATTGTATGTAATACTTTAGTATGCTTTTGATTGTTTCTTGTTTATTTGAAACTGTTTTAAATTTTTCAATCACAACTCAGGTAAGTTCAGCTCGAAACAAATTAATTACATTCTACAACAGGTATGTCAATAATGGTGTGCCGACAAATAGCTAATGTTGGTATTATATACGTGTGTAGTCGGGGATTGATACGTATAGCTTGACCAGATGGATTCACTGACCCGCGTTATCAGTATATTGATACACTGGCGAATCGTCCCGCTATTGACTATGGTATTACTCGGTAGCGTTGGAGGTTCTTAGAATGTAATTCCAAACCCGGTGTACCATACAACACCTCAAACCCCAATTACGTAAGAAATATCCGCGGGTACGAAAGTGTGATCAGACAGAGTAAATACTAATTACCACAAGATAATATCAACTTGTAAACTATTCAATTCAATTCATTTATTCTGAGATACATGACATATAACATTATACATGTAGTTACAATTTGTACAAAGTTCCTCGTGAAAAGGGAGTATTTACATACATATATAAAATACATGCGGTTTTATATTATGTTTTACAAACATTGACATTTCTATGATAAATCTTAAATTGTAATATAATTTCCTTTAATGTAAATATACGTCGAGCTTTTTCTAAAGTGCTAAATTATAAAAACCGATAAATATTAAATAGCTCTCAGGATACCCTTGCCAAATAACTGTAATTACGCTTTTTTTCTGTAAAGATTATACTTTTGATAAATCGTTTCTGAAAAGAAAACCAATCTTTACGGGACTTTTACGAAAAATGCTAAAGTTTAACGGAGTATAATCAAATACAGTGTTTTAGACAAAAAACAATGGGTCTAGACCGAGATTCGAACCCTGGAACTCGTGTTGTTATACTATCGCTCTAATCAATTGAGCTAACTGGTCATGGGAAGTTTCCTGCCCCGACAGCTCTGCAGTTATATCCAAACGGAAGTTAAGTGGGGTTACTTAAGCATCAATTATGCTGTCTTCTGCCAAACAGAGAAAAGTGAAGAAGTTATTAACGAGATTTAAGACATAGTAGTATGGTGATGTCTTTAACCAAGGTATATAATACAATATCATTGTTAGAAATCGAGTCATGATGTCGCATTCTGAAATGAATTGAACGGTTTCATCGTACTTTGTTTGTTTGTTTGTTTGGAGTTAAATGTCATCGCAACCCGAGGTCATAATGAGTATGGGTGTGTAAGAAGAAAAGATAAATTAGCAAGAAATGAAAGAAGACAAGAACTCTTCAGGGCCCCATATTAGTCGCCCATACGATACACATTCAGTAGCAACATCAAGTCTAGTCTTGTTTTCGTCAATGTCTCCTAAACAGAAGGTAGAAACCATCCCGACTCTGCAGGCGGTCCGCAGAAGTCGCCTCTAACGATCATGCAGCGGAATACCGCAGGCCTGTTCCTTCCCCGAACCTACACAGTTGGTTTCTTGGTACATTTTCAGGACTAAAGCGGCACGTGTGTTTATGAAATAGCAGTAATTTACTACTTCACCTAATGCAATTCATACGTAAATCTAACCCCTGAAATCACATTTAAATCACATGGTCTTACAACGAATTAGCATATCACGAAAGAAACACAAATGAATATTAATATACACGACAGTTAGAAGATTTATTTATGTTGATTTTTGTTGGCATGATTTGTACTATAACTTATTCAATTGGGATCATTACAGTTGTTTTCGCTTTTATATACTTTGTATAATGGAACTTTTCTCTAGTTTCTCATTCAAATTATACTAGTACACGTACATATGTACTAGACTAAAAATCACAGTTGAAAGAAGCCCTAGATTTTAACATTTAATCTCACGACGGATGTCACAGGTGGTGAAACTAAATTCTGATAATTTTGGAGCACATTATCTCGTCTCCAGTTTTGTATACACGGGGTTCACGTCAATGGTGTCCTTTGTTTGGTGTGTCATTCATGTTACTTTTTAAACGATTTTATTCCGATATGTTTTTGTGTGCGTTGATGAATTTGTATATGTTTTGCTGTTTTGCTTGATAAATTATCTTGTATCACAAAATTAGTTATCACACGCATGTACCAGGATCTGTCACCTAACTATGCTCTATTTCCTTTACAGTGCCGAATACATCTGGAGGGTTAAGATGTGACGTAAAAGGATTTGCATCGAAAACTGGTTATTTTACCGTGACAGCACCCATCGAGCACACACGTGTCATTTAAAGGCCCACTCGAGAGATTGCTGGGAGGTTTAAGTGATATCCCCTGCCTCGACAACATGCTATATCCATGACCTTTTCGTGAGGGAGAATACTCCGTGCTGGTTTTTTCGTGTTTTAAGGGATATATACATCACACCTGTTTAGAGTTTTGACGACGATATTGGAACTAAGGACGAGATCTCGTGTTAACCTTTTTATTTTGAATATGAAGTTTTACCGTGTGATATGGTGAAAGTTGTACGTAAACAGGCAGATGGGACCCATGTGACAGAACTGCAAACTTATGTAATAGTTTTGATATTCTGAAAATCGGATTGCAAAGAGAGTATGAGGTATGAGCTTTGCTAGCTACTGCATGTTTTTGCAATAATTTCAGCTGTTTGTGGCTACAGGTACTTCAATTTGTAAAAAAATTTTTTTAATTGATTGAGTAGATTTGAGTACATTAACATGCCAGAAAGAGACTTCTTGACAAGATCATGGACCGTTTTGTCCACACGGAGAAAGCCAAGAAAGATACGGATTCCAGAAGTCAACACCTACTCCACACAGGTACATATTAGTCCTATACAAACCTGTCTTGTTCTTTTTCTGTATATTTTCCTTCCATGTATTCAATGATGTTATTATGTAATTTTAAGTCGTTTTCAGAGGAGTATGAATAGTAGTCATTGTACGCCCTCTTACATTTATATCAGAGCAATAACGACATACTTTCTACTTTATGACTTCTTTAAAAAGTGTTTATTTCTGAGTATATCGGACGGTTTTCTTAGGTATAATCTTATTTATAAGAATTTGTTGGCTGTAGCAAAAATTTGATGCTCTTGATCGAGATAATTCCTGACCAAAAGTTTTTATTTACAATTTAAAATGCTTTGCTGCAGTGTTTGATCTTGTTTTCAATTACCAAAGTCCTCCTTCAAGATTGTTTGATATCAGAATACCTTTTCAACGGATTCAATCTAATCAACATAGTATAAGCAAGAATATATTATCGTAATAACGATGCACACACGAAATGGCAAGAGGAGGGTTTTATTTTATGTAGTTTATTTCTGTAAGAAAACGATAATACAAAACGTTTCATTCGATATAATTTGTACAGAACTAAGCTTTCATTTTGCTATGTATATATATATTTTAGATATTGAATAAAGCCATTTCACTTTGTATGAATACTAGCATAAACATGTGCTTGTATATCAAAATAAGAAATAACTAGTGTATGTCAATTGTTAATCTAGAATTTTGGTACTTTTCATTGTGATATGCGCTTAAATGGACCACAATTCATATTTCATTTTCATAACTTAACATATTGATCGGTCGGAATCCCGTCCCTAGATACTCGAGACCTAAACACGTCCCCCATAGAATCCTAATTGGCCCGTATCCTTGTCAGAATAGATATACAATGACTGTTTGTATTATTTAGTTACGCGATCGAGACAACGTCGCGGAATTCTTCTGTAGAACGGATACGAAGAGGCTTCTCGACTTTCTACTCACCCGCAGCTTATCGAATTAGATTATCTATATGGTGAACAAGCCGGCGATCCTTCAAAAAGTCCTTAACTATTGATTTAGAGACATGTGCTGGATAGTAGAGACAATCAGTCATTTTGTGTAAAGTCCTGGTAATCAGTTGGGGGTTGGGGGTCAGTTAGGGTCTAGTGTCTGATCGGTATTTATTTTTTAAGTAAGATTGTGACCATGGTACCAGTACGTCTACGTGACATAAACTGTGTTAGTCACTTTGGCTTGGTATTTTGATTAACTACAAATCGACTATGGCAAATAAAAACCACGACATTGGTTCATATTTTAGTATTTCTATAGATATGTCGGGGTACGGAATGATTGGTATCCCTCCGGTTTCCTGTTACGTCACGGCAGATGTGTTAGCTTTTCTAATGAAGTTCCGCCTCTACGTTTGATTTGCTTTTTATATTATCTGTATGAGATCAAATTTGGAACCAGTGATTTTATATACATGTGTGAATAATTATATGGCTTGCAAATGGTCTTGTGGTTTGACTATCAAGCTATACTACACCACTCCTAGCTTTATGCTTTTTTTCCATATGAAACTGAATTGATTAAAGGGCGTTTCAGATTCAAATTATCAAGAATATCGGGAACGTCTTACAGCTAGCTTATCTGTCAGAACCTTAAATCAGGGGGGTCGTAAAAGGGAATAGGTGTTTATAAATACTTCGTGTTTAAATAATCTCGGGGCAATGTCTCTCAGGAAGTAGTTTGGCGGGCCCAATAGGATAGGTGATGTAATTAAATATACCACTTCCTGTGTACTGATGAAGGGATTGTAACCTCATATAGCATGGCAAATCCATGGACCAAGGAAGTTCAATGTTGAATAAATGAAGGAATGCTTTTTTCTAGCGGACAGAGTGACAGCGCCTTCTAAAGATAATATCGGCAAACAATATTCAACTCTTTCAGTCCTGATGAATAAATCTAAATAAGAGCTGATGCATATGCTCATTACATGACCAGTTGATACTTTACTTCCTGATTTGAAACCTAAGATGGCCGTTTTTTTCTGAAACTTTTCTTTTTCACTTCGGCTTACATCAGACCGATTTATACAAATTTTCATGGCCTTGATTAAGAGTTGATACATTTCGAACCAGTCACTAGGTATAGTACCCTTATCCCAAGGATAATCCATACTAAAGGATAGAAGCCCTTTATCCCTACGGTAGAAGAAGGAATTTAAAGGTTTTACCTCTATTTCCCCTATTGTGTCCAACAATTGAGTCCCCTTAGTCTGAGGATGATCCAGATTGACTGAGATAGCTTAGACTGGTTATTAATTACACGTAATCGATTTTAACTCAACGTCGATCAAACATTTTTGTTTAAATAACTCGATCAATAAGAAATTCTAAATGGCCAACATGGTTTCCAGTAAGCGGAAACATTCCAGATAACAAAAATAAGGAAGTGATACGACGAACTCTTCTTTTGTGATAATTATGCCTACTGAGAACCGTCAAAATATAAACCGCTCGTATGCCATTATTGTTATCACTGAATACTATTTTTCTACTTATTGTAAATGTTTCAAATGCATTTTCTTATAACATCTGTTTGCATTTTCTCTGATAATCAAAAGCATAAAGGTGGTAAAATATGTAAATCAGCTGAATATTTAATTCTGATAATATGTAACCGAATGTAACGAGGGTGAAAGCACAATCTACAGGTCCTGTATTAAGTCAAAATTCGAAAACTTGCCTATTCAACAGTAATTTTGGAGTTACATAAATTGTCTTTTCAGACAACTGTTTTCCATATACATATGTAGCGTCACGTCAGTCTATGTATGTCGATAGTAGGCTCAGCTAAAGTGTACGTGTGCCCATGTATGGTCATCGTCAGTTTATGTATGTCGATCGTAGGCTCAGCTTCGGTGTCCGTGTGCCCATGTTTGGTCAGCTTCAGTCTATGCATGCCCATGGTAGGGTCAGCCACAGTCTATGTATGTCTATGGTAGGGTCGGCTTCAGTCTATGCATGCCCATGGTAGGGTCAGCTTCAGTCTATGTATGCCAATGGTAGTCAGCTTTAGTCTCTGTATGCCCATGGTAGGGTCAGCTTCTGTCTATGTATGCCCAGGGTAGGGTCAGCTTCAGGCTATGTATGCCCATGGTAGGGTCAGCTTCAGGCTATGTATGCCCATGGTATGGTCAGCTTCAGTCTATGTGTGCCCATGGTAGGGTCAGCTTCAGTATGTGTATGTCAATGGTAGGGTCAGCTTCAGGCTATGTATGCCCCTGGTAGGGTCAGCTTCAGGCTATGTATGCCCATGGTATGGTCAGCTGCAGTCTATGTATGCCCATGGTAGGGTCAGCTTCAGTATGTGTATGTCAATGGTAGGTTCAGGTTCAGTCTTTGTATGTCAATGGTAGGGACAGCTTCAGTCAATGCATGCCCATGGTAGGGTCAGATCCAGTCTATATATGCCCACTGGAGGGTCAGCTTCAGTCTATATATGCCCTTGGTAGGGTCAGCTTCAGTCAATGTATGCCCATGGTAGGGTCAGCTTCAGTCTATGTATGCCCATGGTAGGGTCAGCTTCAGTATGTGTATGTCAATGGTAGGTTCAGGTTCAGTCTATGTATGTCAATGGTAGGGACAGCTTCAGTCAATGCATGCCCACGGGAGGGTCAGCTTCAGTCTATATATGCCCTTGGTAGGGTCAGCTTCAGTCTATGTATGTACATGGTAGGGTCAGCGTTAGTCTATGTATGCCCATGGTAGGTTCAGCTTTAGTCTATGTATGCCCATGGTATGGTCAGCTTCAGTCTATGTATGCCCATGATAGGGTCAGCTTCAGTCTATGTATGCCCATGTTAGGAATTTGTTTGTACGCAACTGTGATGAATACCATCATGAATGCTAAAAAGACGCATTTCAAACCTATAATAAATATAAACTTGATGGTCGTTTATCTTCCTTGCAGGTGGCCTTTACTAGTGCAGAAAGGATAAATTAAATTTGTTCAGAAGCTTTCCTATCGGTCTCATGACAACACTGTGACGATATTGCAGTTGTATCAATAGCAATTGCGTGACTCGTGAGAAATCTAGTTAAGAACGAATCAATTAGATACGCTGTTGTATATTTGTGTCGTACAAAATCCGTTTGAAAAAATCCAGAGAATACCATACTCCTTGAAGGGATATTATAATTCTTTGCTATTTTTCAGATGAAAATTTAATCCGATAGAAGTTTTCAATTTCGTGATCATACATAAAAAATATTAGATCTAAATCGTCTTTATGAACATGATAGGATTAAAGTATTTAAATTACATTACGACACGGATTTGTCGCGGTTTGTCAGAGACAAATCTGCATGGTATGCTTACATTTAGCCTTCAATTTTGTGGGCATTGCTATCTGGTGTGAAATACGCAGTGCATTTGAATTTGACATAACAAAATATTACAATACATCAAATCTGATTTTATAGGTTAGGAAAAAAAAAACATCTATTAAAAATATTTCAACCATCGCTGAGAAATCAGCATTCAATCGCTATGTTTTGGGATTTACAATGATTACAATACATACATAAGTTCTCATAAATGTCTTGAATTTGGTTTTATGACTTCTTAAGCTAACAGTGCAAATATTTACTGGTTTAGATAGACATAGTCAATGATATGCTTATACTTAGACCAAAGCACAAGAAACAGGCGCATATCGACTTTCCATTATACTGTCACATATATATATTTTATCACGACAATAAGATTGAGTGAAGGAATACGATTACTTACGGTATATGTAGGAGATAAATGTGTTCGATTTACATTTAAATATCATACAAATGATTGCAAGAGGTGCGGGGATTTAAAGGGAAATATATCGTATAGATTCCCATTGAATAAATCATCTTTAATATATTAACGTTAAAATAATTTAAATTCAAGCAATATGCCCATGGTTTGTTAACACAAATGAAATGTTTTGAACTTGAAAAGAAATACACAAACATACACAAATGTTGTTATGTACATGCTTTTTGTTTCTACTTCGTAAAAAGTGGTTCTGTTTTATTTGTTACACAACCAAACCACTAATAGTTATTTGAAGTATTGGCACGAAATGCCATTTATAGGAAACGTAACTAGACTTAATGCATTACTGTACCATTATTGTTCTTTTAGATTCGGGAATGCAACAGTCTACACTCCCGACTAGGGCTACCATTGAGAGCAGACGTGGAAACAAGGTCATCACACTTTCCGGATATCTCCACGTTTCCTAGTTTGACGTCATCTCCCCATTACTCTAGGTCAGCCCCGCCAATAGCTGTCCGTGGGTTTGCAGGGAGTCCCGGTGGTCATCCTGCGCAGCTTGCGTGGCAACATGATACATCGAGCCCAGAGGTGAAAATGGACACTGGTCATGTTACTCTTCACAGTCAATCGTCGGTTTTCACTTCAAACACAGACGCACACTTCGACGAAGATCAGGAACAGAAGCGGAAACGCCAGATGACCCCGACACAACTAACAGAACATTTACGTCTCCATGGTTACGGTGAGCCCCGGGTGTTGACAACGACCAGTTTAAGTCATCAAAAGTTTAATGGCAAGTCGAGAAGTCTTCCAAAAAATCCATCAAAACGAGAAATAATCAAAGGAAGAGCAAGACTTGATTATGAAATGGCAAATATGAGAGCTCTTGCTTTCTGCGAACAACAAACTTCAAAAGTGTTTCGAAGCGCATCAGCGAATATGCGCAACAGGGACGTCCAATTTGTTGAGGATGAAATGCGAGAAAAGATGCACAAAGAAGACGTGGATACACATGATCAGACAGAAGGTGTAGTCGTAATGGCGATTGACAGGGAGGAGCTCTTTAAACGGGTTAACACTTGGATAGAAGAAGTGGAATGTGCCTTGAACGACGTCACGTGATAATCGAGTAAATTTGAACAGGGGAGTGAACCTATTATTGATGCTGGAAGTGCAGATAATCCGTGACAGGTTGTTCGTAAAACCCTATTTTAGAATGTAATTTTCCATGTTAACGTCTACTATGAACTGTGTTTGTGGCATAGTGTTCGCTAAATCCAATACTGAGAACAATATCCTGTCAACGGAATTCAGTTGAACGCTTTTCTTAGATCTTAATATATTGTCTTGTAAACAAATTAACATAAAAGCTGATACAAGCAAAAATCTACTTTATTGTTGCTTGAACTTTTTCTGTTGATGGTAAGGCACAATGTAGAAGGACTCATAATTCCTCCATTTAACCAAAATATTTTAGGAATCTCTTAACTTCTAGAAATACTCTCGCAACAATTTTTTAAATGATGTTTTTCAAGTGCTGTCGTGTTGGTACCATAGCAAACTAGAAATTAGTAGCGACGCCTGGTCCAAATATATTTAGGTTTGGTTTGGTTTGCTATTGCCTTATGTCCTATTAACAACTACGGTTATTAAAGGACGTGTCAGGTGTTTGTGGTAGAGGAAAACCGGAATGATCATAGATGGTCAGACACATTAACCAACCCTCCCCCCCCCCCCCCCCCCCCCCCCCCCAAATATTGACATAAATCATTACTACTAAGGTTTTAATGGTATTTACATGTGTTCATAGGTGCAACTGGTCTTAAACATCTATATTATTATCTGTATCATGGCACTGGTCTAGTCACATTACTCTTCTATCGGACATTACCAGTGTTCTGGTCTAACGAAAAAGGAAACCACATACTCAAGATCCGACATATACGGTTAAGTATGTCGACATACAAAGATCGAGGACATTGTGAGCCTGTCTTTCATTAGCGCGGACACTGAAATATCAAGTTGTTCTGGTCCACTGAAAGTACTAAAAAGGCGTTTATCATTTGGTACATTTTATTCTGAAATGGGCTGGTCGGGGAAAAAAATACAAAATAAATGGGTCTAAATGCGTTCTCTGGCCTTCAAAATGTTATACCACGGCAATATGATGGTCGAGTTCTGCTTGCAATGTCCAGTTTTGACCACTGAAATCTCGGGGAAGCCCCGCGTAAATTTAGCGCAGATCTATTTATATATGTCACGTGGTTGTTTCGAAATTGAGGCAGTGAAGATAACAAGAGGTCCAATGGCCCTGAATGGATCACCTGGTATTAATTTCACACTTGTTATCTTAAAAGTGGACTAAAATACAACTTCAGGCAGAATATTGGTGTTTGATTAATAAGAACCTATTAAAATATTTAAACATATGACACCCGTGACCTTGAATGTCGAACAAGGATATTAGGTTGAACAGAATTTATAGTCTTCCAACCCAGCATGCTTCTAGCAAAATATCATTACCCTGGACTTTTTGGTTATACAGAACAAAACATTTAAAGATTTAAACATATATTGACCACGGTAACCTTGAATATGATTAAAGGTCATTCATTTGAACAAACTTGGTAGCCCTCATACCAGCATGTTACTGGCCAACTATCATTATCCTAGATCTCTTGGTTATTCAGAAGAAGTTGTTTAAAGGTTTTATACATATTTGACCCCTGTGACCTTGAATATCAGTCAAGGGCATTTATTTGAACAAACTTGGTAGCCTTTCACCTAAGCATGTTACTAGCTACATATCATCCCCGTAGGCCTCCCGGTTATTCAGAAGAAGTTGCTTAAAGTTTTTAAGATATTTGACCCCTGTGACCTTGAATATAATTAAAGGTCATTCATTTGAACAAACTTGGTAGCCCTCATACCAGCATGTTACTGGCCAACTATCATTATCCTAGGTCTCTTGGTTATTCAGAAGAAGTTGTTTAAAGATTTTAACGGATTTGACTCCTGTGACCTTGAAAATTGATTAAGGTCATTTATTTGAGCAAACTTGGAAGCCCTTCATCCCAGCAGGTTACTGGCCAAATAGCATTACCCTAGGCCTCTTGGTTATTCATAAGAAGTTGGTTAAAGGATTTAAACATATTTGACCCCTGTGACCTTGAATATCAGTCAAGGTCATTTATTTGAACAAACTTGGTAGCCTTTCACCTCAGCATGTTACTAGCTACATATCATCACCGTAGGCCTCTCGGTTATTCAGAAGAAGTTGCTTAAAGATTTTAAGATATTTGACCCCTGTGACCTTGAAAATTGATGAAGGTCATTTATTTGAAGAAACTTGGTAGCCCTTTATGTCAGCATGATATTGGCCAAATATCATCACCCTAGGCCTTTTGGTTACTGAGAAGAAGTTGTTTAAAGTAATAAGGTGACGCCGGACGCCGCACCATGCCATAAGCTCACTTGGCCCGAAGGCCAGGTGAGCTAACAACAAAAGCACGCCGCCATGTGCCATGTCGGACTCAACTAGCGGACAAGACAGCAATACTATATGTAAATAATTGTTTTCAAAGGTCATGTATGATGCAAGTGTAGAACTCCTACCTATATGTTGTTATATATAACGGTATTGATACCTCGTACCTGTCATGACCTTTGCATGCATCTTTTTCTTTCCACGCGATATTTACATTTGGCCTTGTTGATGACGCGCGTGTGGTAAAATTACATCACTGATCTGGGTCAATTAAGAGTTTTAGACTGTCAGGTGACGATTTAGGATTTCTTAATATAATTATAATTTTTACTCTTAGGGAGTGAATTTCAGCAAAATTTGAATCGGTATATTTCACAAGAAGGTATTTTAAACATGTTTATGCCATTTTAGCAAATATGACATTTTTTCTCCGACCAGCCCCTTTAACACAAGAGTATATATATATAATTGCAAACATGCGTTACAACCTCTTGAGTAAACAACTATCATTTTGAGTCATGTCAACTCAATAATAAAACTTTAAAATGAACATATATTATATATTTTATTTTATATATGTCTTTCTTAATTTCTAGCTTTTTGATAAAATCACATATTGAACAAATTGTGAAGCCTTGCTTTCTTAATCTCATCATGTTTTACATCGAAATTTCTCCCGACTGAACTGGTAAAATAATACAATCAATACTGCATTAGTTTGTGGGTAAACCAACAAGTGAAAATTCCTCGATTTTTATCCTATAATAAAAAAAAATATTCTTGAACATTTCTACTTGTTGCAGCCCATACATTAGCCGTGAAAACCAACTTAGTTGCTAAATCAGTAAATGCAAATCATCAACAATCATTGATACTCACTGTTTTCTTCAGCATCGAATGGTAATGAAGACCGCAATATCTTTCATTGAAAACATTGTGTTTCTACTATTGTATATAAATTATTTCGCAGACATCTTCTATGATAGAGGTAATATTGGTACACGTATATAACATTTGTCGAGGGCAACTTCTATAATAAAGATAATGCATATAAGAATAAAGCTTGAAATCAGTTATACTAAAAAACATTCCTGTTACAAACCCTTTGTTTGAATACCTTTAAATCTTAAAAATAGTCAACAGCCTATTGACTGCTGTGAACCAACACCGCACGACAAACTTACTTCCTGTTTTTCCCTTTTAGACCCTACAATATAGACATACCGTTTTAAGTGTATTTCCTACTCTACATATTTATACTTGTTGAAAGCATATAATATTTATAACAGTTAACAGCCTTTGAACTATTATTAATAAACAAGGCTTATAAAAACTACATTATATAACCTAAAATTCACTCTAAAACTAATATTTAACCTCTTCCATGTTCCTGCCAAGTATGGTCCGTTGAAATGTTTAACCCCATAGAACTGACGGAAACATCTTACAGTAATACTGCATGTATGCATGGGATGTGCTGAAACCTTTAGGGAAACCCTGTTCAAACCCTTCAACCAAATGCTTTTATATTCCTAGAGGCTACGGAACAATGTTAAGTTATCGTGGATGTACTATTTGGTTGACATTACAGAGATTTACGCAATTTTGAACATGTCATGAACATGCTCAAATGCATTATCATCACTAAGTGGGCAAAAGGAAGCATGCAATATTGAGGATTCCTGAAATAAACACGTTTTAAAATCTTGATATCAGAAACTTGAATATATACATATTTTTCGATATCACTTGGTCACAACACATTCACATTTAGTTAATTTAGAAAAATACATTCACATTTAATTAAGTTAGAAAACATTAAAACAAACATATTTCACAAAAACGTAACTGTTAACTTTGTTTTTAAAAATGGCAAAACAGAAAATACACCCAAAACATAACAACATAACAATTCATTACTGACATTGGTTAAGATGAAGAATCTTAGCGCTCAGTGTTGTATCTCCAAGGAAGTGCTAAAACTGTCCTTGGCATATTTCTAAATATACAATGTACACAGCAAATATTTATATACGAAATAAATATGTTTTATTATCGTTTCCATTTTTGCAACGAAAAAGAAACGAAATCTCCACTACTGACATTCAGAACTTTTGATTTTAAACTATCAACCCCTGCATTAAACATGAATTAATATTTCAAAATGAATAAGAAAATCCACTGAAATGCTTGCAAACTATAATTGTCATTCTTTGAATATAGAAAATACAAAAAAGTGATGTGACTTACAATCTTAACAGAACTGAAATAAAAATCACATATGTGAAAATAATGACCAGTACTTCCATAGGAAATATCACATGTGAATTGTTGACTTAAATAAAGGTTTGTAAATATCAATGTCATTATTTCACAGTTGATAGTTCGGTGCAAAGGGAGGTAATCAATTTAAAGAAATAATAACCAAACTATCTAGTAGCAAAAGTAAATTTATACTACAAATTTAACACATAAGGGTTAAATTGGAATGCATTAAAAATACGAAAGGGTAACAGGGAGATAGATGAAAATGAATGAGGCCATGAACCACAAAACACGAGAATTCATGTGCTCCGAATAATGAGAACTTTCTGCACCGCATGTGGCATCTTTTATGATCGGGAACATCGATCTAAGAGAGGAGGTAAATATTTTTGAAATGGAACACACTATGTTTTCCTACTTTGAAATAAGGTCAGAATGAACACCATCAAATTTCTACGTAATATTACGCTTAATAAATTCTGCAAAAGTACATGTCAAGCCGTGAAATGTCTACATAAAAACTTTACTATTTGATGAAGATATAACAAAAAATGCAATGAACACACAAAGGATTAACGAGAGGCAAACGTCGATCGAGGTAAAGATACCAGTTGATATGTAACATTTAAATCAATCGACTATCATGTGTATATCTCCTAAATGACCAATCAAAGATATTTGTATGAGGATAATTAAGGCATTTTCGCGGGTTGTATTTCCATTTTCCATAATTCTCTAGTAGCATCCGTACAGATATATCAAAATATTCACCTCTTTGAAAAGGATTGTCTGGATAGATTTACCTTTCCTTAATAAAGATACGTGTAAAGATATTGTGATTTAATGTAAAAGTTCGAAAATGTTGGTACCATTTACTAAGAACGCTTCTGTAAAGTCACTAGACAAGGACTCTTGATTTCAACAATCCATGCTTGATCATTTATAGGCAAAAATATACCAAAAAAATATGAATGGTTCAAAAAGCTTACAATAATACCGCTAAATAATTTTATCGTGACTTTTTAAAATTACATCATAGGTAGAATTCTGGTTAAAGTATGAACATATAGGTTTATAAGTCTATGAGTTAGGCGGCAATACAAGTGAGATCTGATGAAAATAATAGAGCCAATTCTATGAAAGACTTCGGAACAATATCTGGGAGAAGGATATTTAATGATATCGGAATCATTCATGTATTTCCACAAATGATTTCAGTAAAGTAGGGAGGTATCCACGGTACATTATTCCCGAGTGTACGATTACCCTAGCTGCCAAACATTTCAAAGACGTGTACTGGAGTGGCCTTACACATCCTTGTTCCTGGAGGAATGCCAAAGGAGTATCCTTGTTACAGTTCCGGGTATCCATGTGTGTCCCTTGTTCTATTAAAACCCACGCCAGTTCCTTCCATTTATTTCCTCGATCAGGAATCTCTATTTGTTTCCGCCATGATGTTATACAGTGGTGAAGAGGTGCATTCTTATCATTGTCCGTTACGTTGACACTTGCACCTGCTTTTATCAGAGCGCGAATCACATCAATTGACGGAAGAGCAGCATCGGATTTTGCTGAATCTATCATCAATGCTAAATGCAGAAGCCGTTCGCCGTTTTCGCTTTCTGCGTCTAGTATCATCACTCTGTTCACTTCCTCGGTGAATCGTTCCCTTTCTTCATCATGTCCTTCCGAAAGGTAGAAGAAGTTCATGAAGTCAATAGCAATCAGTAGAAGAGATCTGAAGTTTTTGAACGTGTTCTTCTGAAGAGGTCGAACTTTAAGAATTTCTGCAAATTCCTGAAGTTGTTTTACCAACAAAGCAAACACGTCTACAATGTCACTAGTCTGTACCTGCGAAATAAGACCAGCAAATGTAGCTTTATATATCGCATGCATTTTAATAATTATACTTATTAATCTTCGTGATAACTTATTTGCAATTCTGGTAAAATCAAGTATCCAATATTGATAATGACATAAATGAAAATAGACTTGCGGGCAAGATGGCTAACATGTCCATACTTTCCAGGGGAAAACTTTGTATTATAACTCTAAAAAGGGTTAAAAAAAGACCAAATGCTGAAAGATTTCATCTCTCTTAAATATAATCAAAATACATTGCTTTACTTTGCATATATCTCATAGTTTCCTTAGCATCACAATATAAAGTGCATGATGTATATATACGGTAGTCAGAGCAACACACAAGTTAATTGTGTTTACGACAGAGTAAAAACGATAGCATACCTGTAAGTAATGCATTACAGTATATGCGTACAAAAGAGTACATGACTATAGATATGTACAAGCACGATGCATAACAAAGTTAGTATCCTTCCACACACTTTGAAGCGACAACACATTTACATATAGGATAAAGAGGGCATGTAACCTCTTTTACATTCTAACGATCTTCTATCATCTCGCTTTATCACCTCACAACCAAAACTGTTGAGACAAAAAGGTGACCATTTCCTATAATATTTTGTAACCAGGCTCGGAAGTGTATCCCAAAAGGTTAGATCTTTCAAAAGGTTTTGCATAATACCGTGGACAAAGTGTTCTCATAAACGAGTTCGTACAGAGTAATTGGATATTAAGTATGCAAATATATTTAAGAAAAAAAAAGATAAAACAAAGCAAATACTGTTTACTGCTTTCCTTTGTGTCCTATTATTAGGAGAAATACAAACTATAAAATATAAATTGACCCTTATTATTATCACAAAGACATGAAGCATACTTTATACATAAAAGCTGAATGTAACGCGCGCACAAATGATGGCACCTTTACAATTAGTTATAGATACAGCAGGCCAAAAATGATTTACACTGCAACATTCGGCCTTCTAGGACTCACTGCTGATGCTAGGGCTAAAATGTTGGAAATCCTACTACATAGGTCTAAACTAGAGTCGTAACAGAACGGGAGGTGCATAAAAAACCTTCATCTATGAATTTCAAAAATTTAGAGTCTTTATTAATCTCAAATTAATTAGATAATGGTTCCAACAAATACTTTACGTACCTTCTCGCTGATTTGTCCAGAAGAGCCCTTTGATAGCATTTCCTTTAACAAATCTACAAACAAGGTCAAGTCGAATACCAAGACTTCATCAGACGCTGAATTGCACTGTCTGCTAAGATGATAAGCATACTTCCAGAGGTCTACTGCACGCTGATAGTGATCCGAATCGGCATACATTGCCCCTCGATACCGAATCTCATTAATCGTCCGTTCATGACGTGTGCCTAGGATCCTTGCACGTGCAAGTAATGCATGCATGTTAATTTTGTCCGTGTCTGAAGCCACAAGAGCTTTACATTGTTCAGGAGTCGTAGTTTCTCTATGAAATCGATAAACTTGCTGCGTTTCTTCTGGAATGATTTTTGTCAGTGGTGCATCCGGATTCGCGTATCTCAAGTCCATTGCCTTATTCCACAATCGCAGTCCCTCTGGAATGTTGTCGAGGTCGTCAATCGCGGTTGCGCCGAGAAGTTCATACCCATCCACCAGTCGTGACAGCTTCATCACAGTATTATCTTTGATGTAGTCGAATATTGTCTGGTTTCCTTGAATGGCTGCTAAATGAAGGATGTGAATTTCTGTAGAAATCGTCACGAAATGAGAAGCTCCGACGCCAAGGAAGAACTTGACTAAGTCAAGCCGACCTGATTTTATAGCATGATACATTGCTGTGTGTCCACCAACGGTAGTTGCATTAACAGACGCGCCGTTGTTGACCAGAAACTCGCAGAGCTCCATAGATCCTTTGGTTGCATTCATCAGACACGTACCGCCATATACATTCGGCTGGTGGATATTGGCGCCATTTTCGACAAGATACTTCACAATTGCCAAATTCGCGCAGTAGCAAGCGCATCGTACTGGGGAGGAGTTTGTGGCAGTGGAGGCATGAATATCGGCTCCGTGTTCTACCAAGAGTTTCACAATAGCAAAATGTTGCTCACTGACGGAGACCCAAAGGGGAGTAACTTCGTCATTGAAATCTTCTGATTTTAGTATGTATAAACCTCGTAACTCAGTTTCGGCAGAACATTCCGTTAACATGTAGTTTACAATATCTGCTTGTCCTAACATACATGCACGAAAAAACGGCGCCTGATCATCTTGGACATGATTTATTATCCTGCTTTGGTCGTCTTTGTTATAGTTACTTAAATATAATTTCAGTGCTTCCAGGTTTTTTAAATCGATAAATGATTTAACCTTTATGCATGCCTCTTTCACGACTTCGGGCATCCTCGAGTTTCGGGGATGCATTTTGGGCTGCTCGACTGCCACGTTATTAATTTCCTCCTCCATGTCACTGACGTCATACATAGGATTAATATCGGGGTCTCTTGGTCTTCAGCGTGTACCTTTTAACATATAACAGGCTAGGTTGCATCTGTGAAATAATTGAACGTGAAGGATGCAGTAGTTTCTTCTAAAAGAAAAGCATATATCAAGGTCTGAATTATGTATATCAATGCTACAAATACGAAATACAAAAGCTAAAAGCAGCTAAGTCTACCAGTTTGATATAAATCATGAAAAGCAATAATTTATTTTGAACAAGAGGCCCAATGGGCAAGCATCGCTCACCTGGTATAAATCTCACACTTGTAACATTAAAAGTGATCTAAAATAAAGCTACAGGCAAAATATCAGTATTTATGATTAAAATTCATTCAAAAGAACCTGTTCATTTTTTTAAAAACATTTTACCTCTGTGATTGAAAATCGAACAAAGTCATTATGTTGAAAATTTTTTATAGCCTTTCATCTCAGGATGCAACTTGCAAAGTATCAACATCCTGGGACCCATGGTTATTCAGAAGAGGTTGTTTAAAGATTTTAAACAAATTTGACCCCTGTGACCTTGAATATAAGTCACTTTAACAAACATAGTAGTCCTTCATCCCAACATGCTATTGACTAAATATCAAAATCCTGAGCATTTTGAACATATTTGACCTTGTGACATTGAATATGATTCAAGGTCATACATTTACACAAGCTTGTTAGCTCTTGATCTTAGTATGCTACTGACTAAATATAATCACCCTGGGCATTTTGGTTATTGAGAAGAGGTTGTGTAAAGTTTTGAACATATTTGACCCCTGTGACCTTGAATATAAGTCACTTTAACAAACATAGTAGTCCTTCATCCCAACATGCTATTGACTAAATATCAAAATCCTGAGCATTTTGAACATATTTGACCTTGTGACATTGAATATGATTCAAGGTCATACATTTACACAAGCTTGTTAGCTCTTGATCTTAGTCTGCTACTGACTAAATATAATCATCCTGGGCATTTTGGTTATTGAGAAGAAGTTGTTAAGATTTTAACATATTTGACCACTGCGACCTTGACTATGGGTGAAGGTAATTCATTTGAACAAACTTTGTAGCCCTTCATCTCAGCATGCTACTGGCCAATTATCATCACCTGGGGCATTTTGGTTATTGAGAAGAAGTTGTTAAGTTTTTAACATATTTGACCACTGTGACCTTGACTATGGGTGAAGGTCATTCATTTGAACAAACTTTGTAGTCATTCAGCTCAGCATGCTACTGGCCAAATATCATCACCCTGGGCATTTTGGTTATTGAGAAGAGGTTGGTTAAAGTTTTTAACATATTTGACCCCTGTGACCTTGACTATGGGTGAAGGTCATTCATTTGAACAAACTTTGTAGTCATTCAGCTCAGCATGCTACTGGCCAAATATCATCACCCTGGGCATTTTGGTTATTGAGAAGAGGTTGTTTAAAGTTTTAAACATATTTGACCCCTGTGACCTTGAATATGGGTGAAGGTAATTTATTTGAACAAACTTTGTAGCCCTTTATGTCAGCATGCTATTGGTCAAATATCATCACTCTGGGCATTTGGTTATTCAGAAGAAGTTGTTTAAAGTTTTTTTAAGACAATCGACCCCTGTGACCTTGAATATAATTGAAGGTCATTCATTGGAACAAACTTGGTAGCCCTTCACCCAAGCATGCTACTGGCCAAATATCATCTCCCTGGGCAGTTTCACCACGGTGAGCTTAAAACTGAGAAGCTAAGATACGCTACACACATATTCTGTCCTCTCCCTATAGCAAACACGAGAATTATTTGGTTGACTTTCTATATATCAATACGATTTTTATTTATTTGGGAATTCACGGATAAGGTCATATTTCGATGGTGTCCATTGATGGTGAAGCCACTCAAGGCCCCTTCAAAAGGTGCCGCCTCACTGAAACTGCATTTCTATCAGTATTGCACTGCTATACCTGGTCGATTATTCTGACATTTTAAACAAGGTGCTTGGGGAAACATAACTAAAAAATAGTTGGGGGATAAAAGGGAAGCAATCTGAAGTGGTATACAATTTTCAGGTTGTGTCATTTTCTCGTTTGATTCTATGTCACATTTTATTTTAAATCGTTACTTCTTTTGACATCCATTTTTGACAAAACTCTACATCCTGTTAAGATTATCAAGGTTTTCCTCTGGTGATATTTACAATACTATATGTAGCTCAGTTGATGAGAGATCACTGTTCATCCAATCATAGAAAGTATTCTAATAAAATGAAGCAGTGAAACAAAAGACAGGTTATATATAATTACACCAATAGGTTCATGTAGATTGGTAGACTAGTGTCGCAGGGTTCTATTGTACATAGGATTAGGACGCCTTCTAGCTTCGAGCTAGAGGGAATTTCACCATCAAACCAATTTTTCACAAGTTTTGATTTTCATATAGTTATAAGTTAATTATAGAAGAAAAGGGGAAACGTTTATATATATCTGACATCGAATGAAGAAATTAATGTTCTATGCATGTACTTGAATTAAAGCGGATCCGAAATTGGTCTGAACTCACTAACTGTAGATTTAGTGATACAGTCATGGTATAAGGATTGAATTAAACAAGGATTATACTCTGTACAACTAATGTGTAAAAATTGCACATATTTGATATGTAATTTGATAAATCACTAAAAATCAGCTATTCAATGTCGTATGTTATTACTGAATAAAAATAGCTCTGGGTACACTACATACATCAAATAAATTCAAAACTTATGGCGTACATTGGTAGACTGACTAATACAATAGAATTAGATAATATCGGCTATTTTATAGTGATGCAATCATTACTTTAAATATACATGACTATAGGACACATATATAAAAAGAACAATCCCTACCTGTGATCACCCCTAAGGTTAATTTAAACTGTCGATTGGTAAGCACTTTGGGAATAGTGATGTAAACTTAAATATATGAATTCGAAATGAAACAATATAAAGGGTATGTTGCCATTTTGATATTGTGACATTATCACTGAATCCGCCCCTATAAACAGCAATGAGTTGCACAGACCACGCATCGCACAATTTCTTTACCTTCTGACAAAGTAGTTAACATTTTGTTAATCAATACATTCATATAAACTCCGTCATCAAAAAATATACGCAGTATATTTAAACCTAATTATAGTCAAGTTGTGAAGCTGATCAAGATCTAATTAATAGTCAAAACTTATAACCAGCAGTTAGGCGAATCAACATTATGAACAATTCGATTGTATGTACTATCTGTCCAATCAAAATGTCTTCAATATTGATCAAAGTACTTACTTTAGGTACTAAACGTTCATAGCGACACCAAATCGAAAGTAAACAAAACTCAGACGACAATCCCGGAAGTAAGCCCGAAAAACCCGGAAGTTACAAAAGTATAACTAACGATTCACGATCAATCCATAATAATTCCGGATTATAATCACAACTTTCTTTTACACATTTTAGTTACGTTAATGTTTATGATATCGAGTTATTTGAAAGAAACAATAATCTTTCAATACTTACTTTATATCAATAAGACGCATCTGAAATACGTATAAGCTACGTACTTAAATATACGATGGGAGTTAACTCTTAATTACTGTAAGTAAGTAAGTAAGTACGTACGTTCTGAAAGCTAAAGACTTATGCAGAAATATACGTTACAGCACCTAAATACTGTTCTATTCATGTGAATAAGTTTCGATGATAACTAAGGTGTCTCGATATGATGAGAAAGGAATAAACCTGTCTCAATATAGAGCGTACAGATGCGTTTTCAATGGTTAAACGTGAATTTGTTGTCCAAATTGTTGAAAATAAACCTATCAATATATATTGAAGCTATTAAAAGAATGTACAACTTTCATTTCATATGGTCTCAATCGGTAAGTTTAAATGCTGTGTTAACAACTGCTTTAATACGAAATCTGACACTGGAAAATACCATTAATTAATTTCAATACCATATATAATGTACAATTATATGAAGCCAATTAATTAATACTAAAATGACATGATACTTATCTACGTAACGTCATACAAGAACAACGAACATCAATACTTTTCAATCCATATAAAGCAAAACTCAATTCCGTAAATGTTTTTTAAGACCGTATGAGAGTGGAATAGCGTAAATCTTACTCTTGATATTACCTCTATATATTCTTCAGACTACTCCATTTTGCCAATCCCTCGTTAACATACCTACATATAGGTGGTCGGCTGGTGCAGTGGATAGCGCACTTGCCATTCACCAAGGCGGCCTGGGTTCGAATCCGTGAAAGGTTGGGATGACCTGCCCGATCACGTGGGTTTTCTCCGGGCACTCCGGTTTTCTCTCACACTAAGACCCCCCCTCGCGCTAACATCCGGGCCAACAAGAATTATTAATATCAGTTGAAATAACTTGTTTCATAATTGTTGTAAATTAAGTAAAGTTTATATAACATAGGCTACCCAGTACACTTAATTTAAATGATATATTGATAACCTGTAAGACAAGTGGTCTCTTGATCATGCTATCATTTATGCTCGCCTGATTACAAACACACGAAGCTAACTATCGTCTAGACACCAGTTTCCGCGCGTTATGTATTTTCGCGCAGACATTTTATCAAGCTATATCTCGTAACTACGTGACCTGCTGGACACAATACAAGGATATTTTAGACGTTTGGCCATCGTCTGTAAACTGACAAAAAAAGTACCGGAAGTTCTTCCGGAAAACAAGATTTAATCACCGATTAAAAAACACGAATAAATATGCAGTTTTGCTTAATGCTCTTTTTATCTTGCTCAAAATGAGCCCATACTTGAAAAAACGGTGATATATTTCATTCATGAACCAGTCTTTTTTGTAGTCTGACAAACGTACGAAAATGTCGTATGCAAATGAGGCCACATCTCCTCGCCGATTTTTTTTCCACTTCCGAAGAGCCAAGGAGACATTCTTATATCGATAAACAGTGTTTTCAATGAAACGTAAAACTTGTAATGCAATGAACCTTCAATTTTCACCAATTTGAAACAGAATAAAATGAGAAATAACTTACCATCAACCAAAACCGATATAAGACTGCAGAAAAAAAATAACAGATTCTATATCATAACTAAATAAATATAATAAATATTTTTTAAAAAAATACATGAATTCGTTCAATTTGACATCTTGAAAAATAAATTAAAAAGGTGAAATTTAAAAAAAGTTGTTTTGATATTTAATTTGACGATTTAAGATATATTTTTTATTCCAAACGAAGCTTTTGTTCTTGCAGGTCACTGTAGAGAATTTCTTTTTAATGTATTCGAGTTATCTTTCTTTGAACACTAAATCAAAATAGACACACGGAAACATATGACGGCTACTTCCGACGGGAGAAATTTGTTAAAAATTGTTTGTTCTGATTTTTTTTTAAATACAGTTTTATGTTGCTAGTTTTTTGTTTCCATTAGTAGATTGTATACATGTTTATGACAGTGATCCGTAATTTCAACAGTTTTCTGCCGATATGAGTACGAAATCGCGGATACTTCTGAAGTGCACGGAAACCGGTAACCCGAGGATACTCCAACAATTTTTATTACATTGTTGCCGGTGAAATATCGGATTCTATCAACTTGATAAAACTGATATCTTTCACACTGTGACAAATATCAAAAGTGATCACTTTTTGGTATTGACCACAGGGGCACGCAACTAGTTATTATAGGCTTTCAGTCGCTGGGTACGTAGGTTATAACGTACCCAGCGACTGAAAGCCTATAATAACTAGTTGCGTGCCCCTGTGTATTGACCAATCATAACGGCTGCATTGATATTCAAAGGCAACGATTTTTTGTTCATATTCAAATGAAGCGACGGCAGAATAAGTGGTTGTTATGGTAAATGTTTGGTACACACATTTAAGTTTTTACATAAATATACAATTAATAACATTTTGATAAGCAATCATACCAGAAAAAAATCAGAAAACTTCGGCGTCGAGTATCCCTTTCAAATGGCGTGCAGCCTTGTTGTCAAGCGTGACGTCATTAGAATATGGCGCTAATTATAACGCTTCTGATTCCCGCCCTTATTTAATGAATGACATTTTTCATGTTTTATGCTTTAAAATGTAATAAATAGAAAATGTAATGATGTCTTTAGTGATAACAAATATATTTCACCCGTTTGGCTAATATTTTGATATTTTTCACGAGTGCGCAGCACGAGTGAAAAATATAAAAATATTAGCCACACGGGTGAAATATATGTTATTTTTTATTTATTTTTCTTTAAACATATTTTATTTGCAAAAAATACAAAAGGGATTAGAAACAAGTTATAAAACTTGAAGTTCGCCTTCTCCCTTAAAGCAATAATGATGAAATATACATATGGCTTCAATTAAAGTAGAAAATGTTGATGACTGTAAATTTAGATGATTCAAAGGAAACATGAATAAGATACAATGTACAATATACAAATCTTACAGATTATTTTTGCATTGAATGTATCTCAGTAACCTGAATATAATATAAACATACGCTGTAATATTACTATAAATAATCTATAGGTTTTATTTTCATATTGAAACTTCTGTCAATGATGCATATCATAAAGTCACTAAAACAAAATTTAAAATTAGCGTTGAAATCAACCTGCATGTTTTAACACCGTAGTAGCTTGTGACGCAGCAGATCTAGACCGCATCACACAATGGTCACACTGAAGACACCATTGTATATATGATATAGATGAAAAAAAATTCGGAGGATTAGAAGCTAACGTGAGGAAATTATGTTAGTTCTGTATATGGTGAGCAGATCATGTAAAATATAAAAATATTAGCCACACGGGTGATTTTTTTATTTACTTTTATTTAAACATATTTTATTTGCAGAAATTAAGAAGACAGGAATGGATATTTTGGTCGAATTGAACAAGAATCCCCACAGCGTGTTGATATAGAAAACTGCTTGTAAATGGGGAATCGTTTCAAGTCTTTTACATAGATATCACCAGGAAATACTTGACACATTTATTTTCAGTACCCATATCATTTCTTGATATTTTACCGATACTATTAGTAAGTCCGCAACCAAAATCTGCGTCTACTTGTACGATGTTTGAATTACTTTGAACATGACGCTCTGGAAAAGTTGCTTATGCAGCGTAGGTCAAAGGCAGGAAATGTTGGTCAAAGTGACCCCGTCCTAGTGCCTCAACAATATGTATATTGCATACATATTCTGTACATACGACAAAAATATGCTTTGGAAAAGTCCCAGTGGGGGTTGAATGTTAAAATTGAAGACAGAGTTGCATGTCATGCATGAACTCCCCTTGGTCTTACACGACATATAGTGCACTTAAATTGTGTTTTCAAGATCGTCAAACAATATAATTCATGGTCTTGCAGACGTTACTCAAAACTGAAACAAAATAATTTTAGAGTTACAGAGTCAGATGGCCGTCCGATCTGACAGGGTTAGGTCATTACATTGCATTTTGATAGGAGCAATGATTGAAATTTACGTTATTGTAAACGATTCTTATTTTTTTAAATCAAGATGACATTGACTTTTTTTTACACCAGACAAGTAATCCACCTCAATTGCCTTCAACATGAAAATCAGGCATGACGTTTTGATTCTCTATTGAGAGTAGTAATGACCTTTTGACCCGAAAAGTAGATCTAATAAGCTATATATTGCGAATAAACTACACCGGTAACTATGAACTTTGACCACAAATATTCCCATTCGGCAAGTATCTTAGTTTCATTAACATAATTAAGTTATTGTAAAAGATTGAAACCAAAGGATCGGTAAACGCTCGTAATTACAATAGCCCCGATATATAGGAGGCCTCAGGATATATCACCCATTTATATTTTTTCTTATATTTTATTATCGAAGCTGACAGTCCGGACATGAACGTATGGTGAGGTTAACTTATAATTAATAGCCCTGCACTGCAGAACGTTACAGCATTATATGTAAAACATCACGATTAGGCTAGCATGGTTCTGGCAGAGAATACATTTAAAGATCTGAGGGTTCCTTATAAGTGATCTTAATGTCTTCATAACTGTTTCTAAACATTTTCTTCCGTTTGGTAATATAAGCATAGATTGTATACAAGTTTATAAAGCAAAATCAGTAAAGTGTGACGTTTCCATGATTACTCTGTCACCTTTATCAGAGAATTGAACCTGTATATATTCTTTTAATTGGTCTACACACCTACATGTATTTCATTTGCTGATGCAAAATGTAATTTGAAATATCTTTGATAAGCTAAACTACAATACATTATGGAACTGTGTAAACACGAGTACAATATTATCATGAGGTTATCATATGTATGGAAATCACATCCTTTTATACTTAACAGAAAATCCAAACTCGAGATTATTCAAAACACGTTTATTAGTATTTTTTACAAAATGTGCACCAACAATCCAAACTGTGCCAAATTACTAAGGCAAACTAGAACACTGACAGGTCAGTAAGGGCCCCGTCTTGTGGCAATATATCCCCCATAATCATCTGGAAGCAATCTGCCCATATACATGTAGCTGAGCTTGACGTTTGACATTTGGAATTCAAAAAGAATCGCAAGGAAGCAAAATATACATTTTACATGTACTATGATGATAGTCTTGTTTCCTTCTACCTCCATATTTGCTGGGCTAACAGAAATGTAAATACCGGTGCAATACTCATTTGTTACCTTTGATTTGTTTTATTTCACCTTATTTACCTCCTCCATCAAGAGCCAGGGTCAAAGTCAGCTATCCACATTGTCTTTGACCTTTGGACCTTAAAGACTTTGACCATTAACCCAGTGACCTTGATCTTTGGTCAGTTGACTTATTCTTTAATTCCGACCAACTTTGCTTCTTAATGTCATAACAAAATGTTCATCAGTGAAAAATAAAAAACTTGACCTTGACACTTTGGACCCATCACCTGGACAACATTGCTTCATAACAAAATGTTCATCAGGGAAAAGGTACAAAATTTAACCTTCACCTTTGACCCAATGACCTTGACCTTTAGTCAATTGACTCCTAGTTTAATTCTGAACAACATTGCTTCAAAGTGTCATAGCGAAATGTTCACCAGTGAAAAGATACAAAATTTAACCTTGACCTTTGACCCAATGAACTTTGTTCAGTTGACTCCTTGTTTAATTCTGATCAACTTTGCTTCATCATGTGATAACAAAACGTTCATCAGTGAAAAGATGCAAAAGTTGACCCTGACCTTTGGATCTAATTACCTTGACCTTTGACCTCAACTTTTTACCTCAGTGTGTCTCTTTGTTTAATTCCGAACAACTTTGCTTCATAATGTCATAGCGAAATGTTCACCAGTGAAAAGCTACAAAATTTGACCTTGACCCCTGAACCGATGACCTTGACCTTTTGTCAGTTGACTCATTGTTCAATTCTGACCAACTTCGCTTCATAATGTCATAACAAAATGTTTATCAGTGAAAATATGTAAAATTTGACCTTGACCTTTAAACCTAATGACCTTTGACCTTGATTTTTTTCCACTCAATGTGTATTTTTGTAAACTGAACATCTTGACCAAGTTTCATGTACATCGGTCAATTAATACCAAGGTTATCAGCCAGGAACAAAATTTGTGGTAGACAGAGTGATTACTATAGGGCACCCGTATCTCCGATACAGGGCCCTAATGAACACAATGTCGTGTTTCTTCTGGTCCTAACACCAGACTTAGACCTTGACATACAGATGTCTGGTGTGGACCATCTATATGTCAAACTGTCTTAAGTCTGGTGTTAGGGCCAGAGAAAACTCGGGCTATCACTCCTGCAGTATGTGCATTTGTGTATTCCTTCCTGTAGTGGAGAAGCAATATAGTTAGCTGTGTAGCTGATTTCCTTGTTTCTTCCTGTAGTGGAGAAGCAATATAGTTAGCTATGTAGCTGATTTCCTTGTTACTGCTTAACATGTACATCTGATTGATGTCGGTTGGTCTCTTTATCAATTTAATAAAAATATTTTCATGTTTGGTAGTTTTCAAAAATAATTGTTTTTGTCAAGCACACCATATGAGTCTCTCTAATAGGGTTATGATCAAAATTGTATCCCTATCATTGTAGGTGTTCCTGATACTAAGATGTTGAGGTTATCCTCCATTGAGGATTGTAATTTCTGGATATATATATAAATCAATAAAAAAAGAAATTCAAATGACAATCGTTTCCTTTCATATTGATACATGCATGGCAATATTTTCTTTTATCCCAAGTTATAAATCATTCAAAACAACAGCCATAAATGTTATCTCGGGACTAAACCATGTTAGGGTTCTTACAAATCTGTGATAGCAATTAACCAAGTACATGTACCAACCAAACCAGTATCAGAAACTTCTTCTCAAAAAAGATACCAAAAATGCCGGAGAGCAACATTTCTTTCAAATTAGTGATGTATAACAAAATTAATCAGCAATACATATATACCAATTCAGCAGAATATTTAATTATCACTGTCATGCTGCAGTTTAATCTAACAGAAACCTTTTCAATGAATTATCTGGTATGAAAAGGAAAAAAGAATGTACATGATTAATTGGGTTGCATGACAAAAGAATCAAACAAATCAGTTTATATTTGAGGCAATATTTTCTAATAGAAATACAAGCATGTTTTCTTTATCTCTAGAGAAAACAAGTTTGGACAGACAAGAGATATTTGAGTTTGTCTTAGGGGAACTCAAACTTAATTTTCTATTTACTTATGTGAATAAAGTCAAAACTTCATTTTCAACTAGAATTTTGTTTTTGTGAAGATAACATATATGTCTCCCCTTATTAGCCAATAGACAAACTTGGGTATGAAAAATTAACAAAGGGCCATATCTCTTGATATAGAGAATGGGGCACGAGACCCGAATTTAGAATGTGACACTCATACTTCCCGAGATACATTAAAACTATAGCAAGTTTGGTCAATGTAGTTGAAATAACATGGAAGTTATGCTGTGGACAAATTTCAGTATTAAAAATAAACAAACGGCCATAACTCACTATATAGTCGGGCATAAAACCTGATTTTAGTGCGAGAGATTCCACCTTCCCAAGATACATAAATAAATAACATGGAACTTATACTCTGGACAAACTTCGGTATTAAAAATAAACAAAGGGCCATAACTCTGTACATAGTGGGTTACGAGACCTAGTTCCAGTGCACTGCACACCTTCTGTGGGTGATGCAGGTATATTTCAAGTTTGATTAAGATATCTTTAATGGTTTAGAAGTTATGCCGTGGACAAACTTCGGTATTAAAAATAAACAAAGGACCATAATTCTGTATATAGTGGGGGCATAAAACCTGATTTTAGTGCGAGAGATTCTGCCTTCCCAAGATTCATAAATATGGTAAGTTTGGTCAACGTAGGTGAAATAATATGGAACTTATGCTCCGGACAAACTTCCGTATTAAAATTAAACAAAGTGCCATAACTCTGTATATAGTGAAGCATGAGACCTGATTCCAGTGCACTACACACCTTCTGTGGGTGATGCAGGTATACTTCAAGTTTGATCAAAATATCTTTTAACGATTTCAAATTTACTAAGAAGAAGAAGAACCAGTACTAATATAATATGTCTCCCTTCACTCGAATGGGAGACAGAATTAAAGCAGGATAGAAACTTAGCTCAATCTCTATTTCTTAGAGAACTTTAAAAGCATAATCATGAACTAATCTCCCAAAATAATTACAGTGTATGCACTTACCATTAAGCTCCACATATATGCTTCACATATATACTCTATGAATTACATGTAATGTAAACTAGTAAAGCACAAACACAACTAGAGGTGAAGTTTTGAACCCATTCACCCCTAAAGTCACATGTGAACCTTACCGAGCCAAAGACTGGGCAAGTCCAGTTTAGATGTGTAGGGGTGAATGATTTAAGTGTTGGTGATATATATAGGCAATGCAGTTTCACATGGAATTAGAATACTATGACTTGAACCTAATTGATAAATGCACGATTCTGAAAGTAGCACATTAGTATAGGAGTAAGATATAACTCAAGGATGATACCAAATGTAAAAATATCTTCAGCAGTTCAGACGAGATGAACGGTCAGACACCAGATTGCCAGAATGTACCAAGATTAGCCATCAAATCCTAACACTTACCCTAGTTTCACTGGCAGGGCAATAACATATAGGATTGGACAGGAAATCTTTAGGTATCCTCTATATATACAGATTCAACGATCAGTGATGGTGGTTTATCATTTATCTAACTACATTGTATTACAATTCAATTTTGAAATTACGAAAAGAAACAAGGTTTACTGAATTTCTTTCTTGAAATTTGAAAATAAGATAAGAAACGTTAGAAAAAAATGATAAACAACTGTCCCAACTTATTGAATTTCTTTCTACCATAGCCTATTTATTTTATGTTATTTTAATAAACCCAAATGGAAAAGTTTCCTTTCAGCAGCCACTTTCTTTGCTATTGCGTATTTGCAGCTGATGTATTAAGATCATGAGTCACAAATTCTCTCCTAATGTGCATTGAGAAATATGATCGACAGCTTTAAATCCTATTTGAGGAAATCCTCGTAATGACTACAAAAGAACACCATGGTGAGCAGAATATGATCAAACATTAAAACTAGGATCAAATGCCAGCTTTCAGTGGCGAGGTTTAGATGATAAACCACAGATGGAATTGTCAGTATCCTGTTCAAAACTGTATATATACTGAACACTCAGTCAAACTAACTGCTTGTACTAAATTAAATATATGTTTACATTAAATCACACACTAACGACACATCAAACTTTTCAACATTTCATTTGTTAGTCGTAAAAGATGATCAAAACATTTTGGCATTTTCCTTCACGGATTATGTGTCAAATTATGCAAATTATAGAATGCTTATAGCATATATAGTAAAAATAGCTTTGGGAAAATATTATATATATATAACCCACATGTATATTACAGTGTATAAAGTATAATAAACAAATAGCACTGATGCCAATACACAGTTTTGTAATGTGTATGAATATTATAAGCATTAAATAGTCCCAATTTACATATATCAGCATTTATACAAAGGACTACAACCAAGATAAATTAGCACTTTAATAAGAGTATAGTACAGTCATATAGTCAACATCTTAAATCCTGACAACAGTAATTTTGTATTTCCATAACAAGCTTTGCAAGAAATTTTCATTTTATGAAAATCAATTTGTTAAAGAAAGCAAAATTATAATTATAGCATGATATAAACATACACTTATTGTTTATTGTGAATATTAAACCAAGTGTAACTGGAGTAAGCATTCCTTATAAACAGTAACATTTACAAACTTATGTATATATCAATGAATGGAAAACAAAGTAGGTTTAGCAAGAGGCATGATACAGTATAGCAGGTGGCATTTGTAGGTACTTTCTTAACCATGCTCCAATTTCACCAATTATACCGTTCCTTAAATTCTAATAACTTAAACTTTTCCATTGGAAGACATTGCATTTTCCTAATATTTTTGTTAACTTTAGCAATGCTTTCAAATGAAAAAGCTTGAGGAATTCCTTAAGGTAAACATTCCTTAAAGTGGGGCCAGTTTTCAGTTGATGAATTATAAGTGTCAATACCAAATCCAAGTTTTATACCTTCATTGTTGTAATATATGAGGTTTGAATGTTCCCAGGTAAATATACAACAAAATGTGCATGTCATACCCAAACAAGATGACGGATTAATTGATGTAACAATCAATTTGTGGTGAATCATCTCATATTTGCCTTTTCCGAAATAATTTAAATTGTATTCTCATAATTTCTTGGAACATTTCAAAATTTCAATTTAGTTGTTCTTAAAACTTCAACATGAGCAAAAAGTTTTAAAATCATGATTTTTCTTCAGTAAACAAATAACGAATATACCATTGACAGCCATAAAGCAAATCAAAGGTAGAGAAAACTTAAAGAAAAAGCTATATAGTTAATTGAGAACTTGGGGCTAGCTTTCTAACCCTTTCTGATGTCCAACAATTATTTCTGTGTCCCCAGGTGAAGACAAACAATTATTAATCTGTAGTTTTGTAAAATGTATTACACACAGAAAATGATGTGATGTATTCTGATAAACAAATGCTTTATACATGTTGATGTATACTTCCAAATTGTATTCACATCTTGTACATTACTAGAGCATATTTTTGACACTATCACACACTTGAACTTCAAATTTGGTAAACATCTTGGGGAGGCAGTGTATTTTACAATAGAACAATGGTCAAGATATGTTTTGCTATATACTTTGTGGCAAGCTTAAGTAAACAGGTCTATTGCTTGTTTCACGAGTCTAATAAAACTCTGTTTTCTCTGTACTATTTTGTAATATCTCTATCAAACACTCTCCTCATTCACAGAACTTTATACTAAAAGCACATATTTTAATTGCCCTCTCAAGTCTTTCACCATTTTCGTTATTAATCAGTATTCACAACTCTGTATGAAAATGTAGGATTCTGTTGTTGCCATGGAAATGTAACAGCCCATCAGTGGTACTCTCTAGCTGGTCTTCATGGAGATCAGATTCCTCATCATGTCAAAGCTGTTACCGTCTGGTTGTACAGAGTGTCTCGTGCCGTCATCTGCCACCACATCCAGATAGCCGTACTCATCAAGGCCCTGTATTGTGACATCCACATTCTCCTTTTCCAGACGTACACGACTGCCACTGTCAAGGTTATTATAGCTCCATTAATAAAGGTTTATTTGGGAGTAAAACACAATATGTTTTTATTTCATTTGTGGTTTTGTTAATAATTTTATCCTTCAGAACACATTTCTCTTTACAATATCATGCTGTTTTTTAAAGAAACCACAATATCTGTTAATTACTGTATAATCATTCTTGTAAATAACATTTTCGAAAATTTAACTTCTTTAAATAGATTAAAATGGCACTATCTATTTGCTTGTAGCAAAGAACACTGACACAGTTGATTTGTCAACCCAGGTATTTGAGTAGCGAGAATTACCTGATGGTGTAGCTTATGGTTGTAGTAACATACATGTGTATGTTACTTTGTAGCAAGTGCTGGCATCATAGACTTACTTGTGTGACAGCATCGCAAGTATCGTCTCATCCCTACATATGTAGCCAGAGTTGGCAATATACAGACTTACCTATGTAGCTGTCATTGGCACTATAGACACACATGTAGCAAGTATTGACAAGAAGGACTTTTCTAAGTATAATCAGCATTAATATTGTAAGTGTAAACTCACCTACATATGGACATGTAGCCATCATGTATTCTTACCTAGCCAGTAAAGGTTCAAACTCACCTGTGTAGCCAGCGTTGGTTGTACAGTTGGAGGAACTTGACTCCATCGTCGGTCTGGAACTGGTTGATTAGCTGTTCTATAATGGACACTGTACGGCCCACCAGCTGTTCCTTACTACACAGACCTAGTGTGTCACCACTCTCACTGTTGTGGCGCTCGATCAAGTCGTTGATACAAATTGTTGGGTTCTTGTTGCTGACGTTAAACCCACAACCTGAAACAGGACAGAAATTTAAAAAAAAAATTGATATAAATTCTTTCCAATAGAAATTTACCAGGTACATGTTTTATTACGAATTTCTATTTAATTCATGATACATTTGTAACATAAAGATAATCTGATACGAAGTCACCGGATTTGTTTACATATTGTTCATTAACCTGGACAGATCATCAGCTGAAACCAGGAAGATTACCTAACAAAAAGAGATATCGGCCACCACAAAATCACCGTTAATGGGTAATAGGTATAGAATACAAGAGTTTCAAGAGGGATCTTATAATCCATCATTGGAAGATCACTGCATGTTGCTGGAAAAAGCGTTCTTTTTTCTTCACTCCATTTTTTTCTCTCTTTTTGAACAAGAACATGCACAGGTACTGAGGAGATCATGCAAACTAAGACATGAGTGGCTTGTTCTATGATAGAATGTTTTCATCCGTTTCACATCAATATACTTTCAATATGATTAAAATCATCACACCTACATAAATAAAGATACAAATGAAATACACAGCAGCTATGTGAACAACCCTGTGTAACATCAGCTATGTAAGCAAACCTGTGTAATATCAGCTATGTGAACAACCCTGTGTAACATCAGCTGTGTAAACAAACATGTGTTATTTCAGCTATGTAAATAAAAACCTGTGTAACATCAGCTATGTAAGCAAACCTGTGTAATATCAGCTGTGTAAACAAACCTGTGTAACATCAGCTATGTAAACAAAACATGTGTAAGATCAGCTATGTAAGCAAACCTGTGTAACATCAGCTATGTAAACAAACATGTGTTATATTAGCTATGTAAACAACCCTGTGTAACATCAGCTATGTA